GGAGGGCTTTAGCCACAGTGCATGTCCAATCCCAGGAGCTCTTCCTGACGGTCAGGAAGGACAGTCTGCCTCCCAGGAAGGACTGTCAGTCTCCCAGGACAGTCCTATGGTCATTCTTTAACCACTTCTCCTTAAACCACTTCTCTATCCCTGTCCATACACTTCTCAGCAAAGGGGGGGTTCATTCAAAACTCCTCCTCCATTTTTAGGAAACAATGAGGTGATATGATCAACAAGAAAATAAAGGCACATGCGCAGTGCTTGCAAGATCTTCCTGGTGGTGTTAGTGGTAAAGAATTCGTCTGCCAATGCAGGAGGCATAAGAGATGTGGGTTCAATCCCTGGGTCGGGAAGATCCCCTGGAGAAGGAGATGGCAACCCACTCTAGCACTCTTGCCTGGAGAATCCCATGGACAGAAGAGCCTGGCAGGCTACAGTCCATGGGTCACAAAGAGTCAGACACGACCGAGGCAACTTAGCCCGCACACACTCACAGTGCTGTACTTCAGTCAGGCTCCAACTTACACCCCAGAATCATTCTGCTGTTCCCAAGGATATCTTTATCAATTATTATGCATATGTAAAACCATGCATTTGAAAAATATTCTCACAAACTTGACATTTGAAAGGGAATCCCAAATGTATACCACATTTTAACCACCTTGCAAATAACTTCGTTTTTTTCAGGCCTTTCCTGGTCCTTCTATTTATATCCCATGAACATTACATTGTAAGAGCATTGACATACTGACATTTTAAAGCCTTTTCATTTTAAGCTGTTCCTCTTTGAAGATTTCTCACCACCACCCCCTGTCTACTCCTTCTTAAGAATGAAAGTATCAGAGGGATAAAGGAGCAAATAATATAACTAAAAACAGAGTTAGTGCATGTTTGATGAACAGATTGCATTGTTGGGTTATAGAAAGGACAGACCACTGCTGTTGTAAAATACACGGCCATTTTATAACTCTAGAAGGCCCTAAATTTGTTTTCAGTGAGGAATAATCAAGATGGAAGAGAAAAAGGAGGAAAAATATGAGGGAAAAAAGTAAGAAAGATATTATATCCAAAAATACAATGTATGTTTTTTGAGAAATTCAGCATTAAATTGAAAGTTGATAGACATGGCAAAGCAAAACAAAAACATATTTTATCAAGGATTTCTCTATGCCCTTGGTAATGCCATCCACCTTGTGACTCATTATAATGCTGTGACACCTTTTTATTTTTAAAGTATCATTATTATTATTATTATATTTTTATGTGGGTGAATTTATCAACATAATCATTTTCGGTTAAATCCTATCCTTCAGATTTCTAATAGAAGCTCCATAGAGTAAAGAAATGTAAAAGTTTCTACAAAATTCACACGATGACAATACAGGGCATCCTTTCCCTCAATTACAGGTCTTCAGAACTTCTGCTAACAATAACTAACATTTGTGGAGTATGACTTTGTGCCAGGCACTGTCCTGAGTACTTATGTATTAACTCACTTATCTTTCTCAATCCTCATCTGAGCTGGGTACTTTGCTTTATGATTGTGTAACACTTTACAGTTAAAGAAACCAAGGTAGAGATGACTCTGGTCTGAAATGCAGCTGCCTTTCCTTCCGGTTTTAATTCTGCCACAACCCGTAACAGGGCCTTGAGCCTCCCCATTTTAGGCTGTCAGTTTCTCCACTGTAAAGTGGGGCATCCCACGGCATCATCTCAAAAGGCTGTTTCCTCCAAAATACTCTGGTTTTGTGCTTCTATATTTTGTTCCTAGAAAGCTGTATTTGAAATTCTTAAAACATCTTTTAAAAAAAAAATAGAAAGTAAATAAGACGATTATATTGAAAGCCTCAGCATTCATCTGAAAGTGTAGACCTGTGTTGCCTGCAGAGTTTGTCTTGGGAGTGACCAGTTTATATTTCAAGGAAGAATGAATGAAAAATTGTGGTTGAGGGGGTAATCACTTCAAAAGAAAACTATCTATACATGTATACTTAGAAGAGAGTAAGATATGAAAAAAAAACTTCAAGGGTAGGTAAGTGAAGGATGTAAGAGAGGGGAACGGAACACCACAACATATTTTTCCTTTCAGAAGACCATCTGCTGAAGTTCTGAGCATGAGAACAAAGTGGGATTTGAAGGATCTGGAATAAATGAAGTGAAAGAAATGCTGAGAAATCTTTTGAAGGAGCAATTTCCAGACAAGCAAGGGAAGTCATGTGGCGTGCCCTTCTGGTCCCACAAAAGTATGCAGGTTCTTGGAGAGCAAGCTCTGTGGAGGGTTTTCTGGCTGAAATGATGTGATTCAAGGCCCATAATTAACAGAGCCTTCAGCAGAGGCAAGGCAGACGTGGGGATTGAAGGCGTTCAGGCTGGGACAGGAGACAGAGTATAGGTTCTATCAGACAGAATGAAGAAGGAATATTTAAATGGTGAAAATACAGAACATTAAAACTTTTTTAAAAAACTTTTTATTTTGTGTTGGCATATAGCTAATTAGAACATTAAAACCTTTGATTCCTTATACATCTTTTACTTCACCTGCTTCCTCTTAGGATACAAACACTGAGGCCCAGGAAAATGAAGGGATTTTACAAAGAAAGATCTTGAAATCAATGCACTGAGGATTAAAAACAGCATGAATTTTAGAAACAAGATTGATGGCAAAATATTATTTTATTCTCTTAAAATATGGAATGTCAAAAAGGAAAAAAAATCTTTCCCAATGAAGGCACTAAGTGGTAATCCTTGGCTTCTTCAGCAATCTGTTTTAAAGGTTATAGTATTATCAAGTCTTCTAAAACTGCTGATATGCTTTTTTTAGGTAAGAAATTATGAATCAGCTGAATGAAAAAACTCATCTACTGTTTCTAGAATGTCTAATTTAGGGTAACATTAATAATAGAAGATGCTCCAAATGTAACAATGAAAGCAACAGAAAATATATTCTTTTAAAACTTGGCCCCTAAACCCCAACAATCCTCCTTATGGGAAACCAGTTGTGGTACAAAGCCCTGAACAGAAGAAAAGAAATAAAAAAATCTACCAATAGTTATTTTTAGCAGTTGTAATTTTAAAATTTTATGTGTTAAAAGTAAAAAAAGATTTCCTTAGAATGGAAATTAAGATTCATCACTGAGAAGGAAAAATAATGGTATGAGTTTTCAGTGTCTTAAAGAGTGTTTTATTCTGGCTGTCAGATCCGTGACCTACTATGGATCTCCATGCCTCATGTTTAAAAAAATGGCAAAATGTGCACATCATGAAGTGCTTTGGAAGTATTTTTTTTATGATGAGAAACAGGTTCTGAGAGGTGAGCCAGGCCTCAGGGTCTTTCTCTTGGAGCTGGTATTGAGTACGTTGCATAGATCTGAGGGGTAGAGTTATGGCATCTTTTGTTTCTTCTTCTATCTTGGGTCAGGTCATCACTAACATTTGGGTACTTCCCGGGTGGTCCAGTGGTTAAGACTTCATGTTCCCAATGTAGGGGACCCATGTTCAATCCCTGGTCATGGAACTAGATCCCACATGCTGCAACTAAGAGTTTGCATGTTGCAATTAAAGATTCCACGTGTTGCAAACAAGAGCCAGCCAAACAAATATTAACAACAAAAAAAAAGGATTATCACTAACATTCGGTCCCTGACTTTCTAAGAGGAACCAATTCCAATCTCTATTTTTTGGCTCCTGATTCTTCATGTGTGCTTTTGAAATTATTATGAAAAATTATTTTGAATTAATATGACCCTATGTGCTTTAAGGAGGCCAGGAATGAAGGGCATCATAACAGAAAGGGCCTTCGCCTTCTTTTCCTTTAATTTTTTTTTTGTTTGTTTTAAAGGAAACTGACTAGCCTATGAGCCTCTGACACGCAGAATCTTGTGGGCAGCTTGCTTACCTATGCAGTAGGCTGCAGGGGGGTAGCGTCAGGGGCTGACACAGGCTTTTCTGAGACACTGCCCTTCACTGCCCTGAGATTCCCCCCAGCCAGGCCCAAAGCACCCTAGAGCTGACTGCAATCTCCTAACAGCCTGCCTCCAGAAAGGAGGTCTTTCCTGGTGGCTGACTTTGAGGACCCAGCTGGCAAGAGGATCGTAGGGAAGTGCTTGAGTTGGGATTGGAGCCACTTCAGCAAGTCTGATACCTCTTGGTAAATATCCTTTTAGTGAGTAGCTGACATGCCAGGCTACTATCATCTGTGTCTGCCAGGCAGTTCCTGGGCCCATTTAGACAATAGCTCTCCCAGTCCAGTCAAGCCCTTCCCTACTTGAGAACAGATCCAAACACACTGGGAAGTAGTTCTGAGTTCCCCCCTTGCAGATCTTACTAGGAACTTCAGAATTATTTGGGAACTGTTTTGGAGGGTTTTGAGCTGGTGTATTTAAAGATGACTTCTCTCTCAAATTCATTTCTTCATCTTTTCCATGACTTCGTTCAGCGACCACCATTTCTCCTCTGGATTACTATGACCACTCTTCATGAGGCTCACTTGACTCTCTTGTCTTCCCTACCATCTAAAGAATCTTCTCAGATCACAAATCTGACCGTGACGCTTCCTGCTCACTGCCCTTCACTGCCTACCCCTCATCCTCTGATAAGCATCAAAGACCACTAGAATCTGGCTTCCCCTGTTGATCCTCTCCCTTCATCACCTTCCTCTTCTCACCACGCAGGGCTCCATGTAACTCTCACTTGGGCCAGCCTTTCCCCATTCTGATTTGCTGGTGCCCCCTGTGAACTCATTTTTAGGTATCAGGTCCAAAGTTCCCCTTGGGAAGACTTCTCTGATTCCCCTTTGCCTGGACCAACCTGCTGGATCCTCCACCCCTTCACTTCTGTGTACAGTGGACTTGGCTGTGCACACATCCATCAACTTCACCAGAATGTAAGCTCCTAGAGGCCAAGAGCTGGGTCTTTTTCTCAGGTCCCCAGTGCCTGGTCCAAGGCTTGGCACTTGCAAGAGCCCAACACATGTCTGGAGCTTGAACAAAGTGTTTCATCACCCCTGAGAACCAGGGGGAGGAGTTGCCTGCCCCTAGGACGAGGTCTGGCTGCTTCTTCCATTTTCCTTTCTTCACCGAGGCCAAGAGGGTGCCAAGACTCCCCAGTCTCCCCTCGGCAGCCAGGGAGAGGGTGAGGAGAGGGGGCCTTTGTTCCTCCTCCAGATGGTTGGAGCTGGGATGCAGCCCAGCAGCTGTGTTTGGGTGGAAGGCGAGAGGACAGATGGCCTGGTGTCTGTTTGCAGACAGCCTGAGAGACCGCAGCCCTGGTACAAGGCACGCTCCGAGGTAGACGCCGCAGGACAGTGGTGGAGTGGGGCAGACGCCAAGGCAGACCACTGTTAGCATTCACTGCTCAGACCCTGGCCGGAGCGACTGCTGAGCAACAGAAAGAGAAGCCTTTATGCACAAGTCCCTTGCGTTTCTGGTGGTAGCTTTTAACATTTCAATCCAAACAAAGACTTTCCTATACGAAAACTCTCTTAATTACTATCATTTAAAATTTGGTTTAACACAAGCAAGCCTCATTAGGATTCAGTTTTGCTTTCTGCAAATTTTGGCAGCCACTGAATTATTAACCCAACTAATACTGGTGGTGGGGGGGATGGGCAGGGGTGGGGGCTTCTCCTGCTCAAAATATTTAGAACCAGAACATGATACAAGGTGTAATAATTTGTACCAGGAAAGCGGTCACATGTTTACATACTTCAATCGAAATGAGCTCACTGATATCCTTATAGCTTCAGGAAAGCCTTTTATTTAAAAAAAAATGGGCAGGATCTTCAGGAGATCAGGATGAGAGCTGAGGTCAGTGCTATCATCAGCTGGCTGACTGCTCTTCCCCTCCTGATCCAAAGCCAGTCAGCCCAAAAAGCAAGGTACAGTGTCATACTTGTACCCCATGGATGTGTGTGTGACCTCCTGAAGATGCCAGTTTGTAATGGATATGCTTACGAGACAGCCACTTCCAAGACTGTGATTCTTTGATCATCTTCTTCTTAATCCATCATTCAAGCCATGACTTGAAATCACCTTTTGTTTCTGTGTGTAGTAAAACAGAGACTTTGAAAGATGGAAAGTCATATTTTGTTGCTTCACATAGCATAAGTATAAACTACCTTTCCCCCACCAAAATAATTTTTAACAGCAATAAGAAATCTGGTTCTATCGATAATCAATTGGAGGAATCCCAGTGAGGAAAGTAGAATTACCTTCTTTCTTGCCACCACCTTGCCCCTCACCCTTAAAAAAAGCCCACATCCTCACTTAATGGATGGAAGTGAAAGTGTCAGTGAAAGTGTCAGTCGCTCAGTTGTGCCCAGCTCTTTGCAACCCCATGGACTGTGGCCCACCAGGCTCCTCAGTTTATGGACTTCTCCAAGCAAGAATACTGGAGCCACTCCCTTCTCCAGAGGATCTTCCTGACCCAGGGATCAAACCCAGGTCTCCCACATTGCAGGCAGATTCTTTACCATCTGAGCCACCAGCCCAAAGGAAATCCTTTAAAACCTGAGCATTCTGACATCCAGGCTTATTTAAGGCACCTGTAACAAAAGAGAGTTGTGGCCAGGGAAGCGTCTTACTTCCTTTCTTGCGCCTGACACTTCTGAGTCCTTTCACCAAGGGTTCCTGGCTACCAAATGGGCCTTAGGCTAAACTGCCCAATATGGTAGCCACTAGCCACTCGTGTCTATTAAGTTAGAAATTTAAAGTTGCTGCTGCTGCTGAGTCGCTTCAGTCACGTCCGACTCTGTGCGACCCCACAGACGGCAGCCCGCCAGGCTCCCCCGTCCCTGGGATTCTCCAGGCAAGAGCACTGGAGCGGGTTGCCATTTCCTTCTCCAACGCGTGAAAGTGAAGAGTGCAAGTGAGGTCGCTCAGTCATGTCCGACTCTTAGCGACCCCATGGACGGCAGCCGACCGGGTTCCTCCGTCCATGGGGTTTTCCAGGCAAGAGTGCTGGAGTGGGGCGCCATGAAACTTAAAGTAAGTAAACTTAAACACAGTGAAATAGTCCCCCAGTCACAGTAATCACTCTTCGGCGCTCAGGGAGTACCTGCCACTAGCGGCCGCCATATTGGACCGCAAAGATGTAGGGCATTTCCCTCAGCACAGCACCTTCTGTTTGACAGCGCTGCGTAGACTGTTCAGCTAGGCAATTCAATTCGGTATCAAGGCAGGCTTGCTTGATTTTATTACTGAATTGACCCCCTGTTTGAATTTGTCAGTAGGTTCCCTTGGGCTACCTGCGCTCTCCAGCAGCCGTTGAGGAGATGACAGAAGTGATTTGTCTCCTAGAATGGCAGTGGTTCTAGTGAAAGTACGAAGGGCAGTAATAGCTGACATTTCCTGAGCGTTACGATCCAGGCACTGTGCTAAGCACTTAATTTGTGTAATCTCATAGTCTCCATAACTCTATTATTATCCCAGTTAAACAAGAGAAGATTAGTAACAGAGTTGGGAAGAGTCTTCTAACAGTCATCTGATTCAACCCTCTCTGTTGACAGAGCTTAGGCTCTGGAGTCAGACTACCTGGCTTCAGATGAGTGGCCTTGAGCAAGTAACCCTCTTTTTGCTTCAGCTTCCTCATCCATAAAGTGGAGGAAATGGCAGCATCTGTCTTATAGATTGATGTGAAAATTGGACAAAATAGTGTCAGACTTTATTTTTTTGGGGTTCCAAAATCACTGCGGATGGTGACTTCAGCCATGAAATTAAAAGATGCTTACTCCTTGGAAGGAAAGTTATGACCAACCTGGATAGCCTATTAAAAAGCAGACACATTACTTTGCCAAAAAAGGTCCGTCTGGTCAAGGCTATGGTTTTTCCAGTGGTCATGTATGGATGTGAGAGTTGGACTGTGAGGAAAGCTGAGCACTGAAAAATTGATGCTTTTGAACTATGGTGTTGGAGAAGACTCTTGAGAGTCCCTTGGACTGCAAGGAGATCCAACCAGTCCATCCTAAAGGAGGTCAATCCTGGGTATTCATTGGAAGGACTGATGCTGAAACTGAAACTCCAATACTTTGGCCACCTCATGCAAAGAGTTGACTCATTGGAAAAGACCCTGATGCTGGGAGGGATTGGGGGCAGAAGGAGAAGGGGATGACAGAGGATGAGATAGCTGGATGGCATCACCGACTCGATGGACATGAGTTTGGGTAAACTCCAGGAGTTGGTGATGGACAGGGAAGCCTGGCGTGCTGCTGTTCACGGGGTCGCAAAGAGTCAGACACAACTGAGCAACTGAACTGAACTGAACTGAGTTCATGTAAATTAAGAATCTAGTAGGATTAACTGCTTTGATTACTATTACAGGTAAAGAAAATCCAGGGAGATTAAAAATGTGCCTAAAGTCACACAGCTAAGACCAGGCTAGCACTCTTCCTATTACACTTGCATATAAATCACACTGGCCCTACTTTCTACCTTCTCACATGCTTTCAACTAGCCTGTCCGCTTTTATCATAACCACTTGGCAGCTAACTGCTAGTTTCAGACTGACATCAGCACTTTTCCATTGGCAAAGAATCCAGTGCCTCTCCCATGGAAGCTGCCAGTTTCCAGGCTTTCTGGCTTGGGGACAATTGGAGAATAACCTAGATGAGCTCCAAGGTCCCTGTCTCTCCCAATGTCACTCCCAAGAGCATCTGAGCCTGGAAAGCAAAGGCAGTTTTTCCTGTCAGGGGAGAATAAATTCTTTGGCACCATTGTCTAGGTCAAAGATAAGACTCCTGAAATTTTTCTATAGTAGGATGAGAGTGAAAGGGGAGAAAAAGAATTAACTACAACTGGCCTGATCCACGTGGCCATCTGTCTACAGCATGAATCTTTCAGGCCTTTTTCAACAGCTCATGGGTATGTTAGTGTGGTTCCCAGTCCCAGGCTCCACGTGAGATGTTGATCCAAGACGTTCACGTTAGAGGACACGACTCACTGACGGCTCGTGTGTTTGGATCTCTGCTCTTACCTGGAAGTTTGAAGACAGGAGAAGAAAATTCTCTATGCAACAGCATAAGTGCATACAGATCACTGGAATTCCTCTTAAAATGATTTAGTAGGTTGGAGTGGGGCATGAGAGTTTGTATTTTTAGCAAGCTCCTGGGTGATGTATATGCTTCTGGCTCAAGGTCTGCACTTTGTATAGCAAAGATCTATAGGACTTTTATGCAGAAGTTGACAACTGGAGATTTCTGGACTCAGAATCTTCCTGATAAATGTTATTTCTTGCTGGTGTAGATATCTGAGGCATAAATTCAGTTCCCTTCCAAGCATTTTCACTGAAAATGCTTTTTGAGAACAGCCTTGTCCCAGCAGATCCCCACATAGATAGGTCACCTCCCGGCCTTACAAAGCAAGGTACTCCTTCAGTGGGCTAGCATTAACATCTTCTTGCTCTTTCCTATAATTGTGAAGTTAGTGGGGAAGGGCTATCCTCTGGAGGTAAGGGAGGGGAAAGACTTGTATTCAAAATATATAAAGAACACTTATAACTCAACGATAAAATTAAAAACTATTCAACACTATTTGTTTTTAGGGAAACTTAGCTCTCTTAAGCACCAAAATTTCTGTCCTAGCTTGTGCTGAAAGCTTCCAATATTTGGTAATATTTTCTTTTTTATTTTTTCTCTTTTGGGAGTATTTTGTGATTGATTACAATAGTAACATTTTCTTGGACTTAAAATGAATCAAACCTATCTAGATTTAATCCTGAATTGTCCACAAATCACTTACTCTATTCTGGGTTAAGGAAATTGATATGACTTCACTCTTCCAACTAATGTTGCATATTAATCTGCGAAGTTGGCCCTTTAGTTTTCCTGTATGTTACAAAGCTTAATCTACTAACAATAACCTGTGCTAATACCATACATGATAAATGTACCTGTCTTGTCTGCAAAAGGTCTCACAGGCTTTCCATTGCTTAAGTGTGATCAAAGTCTAGTATCATATTATCTGCCAAAACCCCAAAGAAGAAGAAGAAAAAAATATATATATATATAAAGAACACTTATAACTCAATGATAAAATTGAAAACTATTCAACACTATTTGTTTTTAGGGAAATATGAATCAAAACCATAGTAATGATAGCTTACAGTGGACGATGTTAGACTCGTGATCTTCAAAGAAGACGATTTAGCTTTGGGGCCAGGGACCAGACTAGATCTCTCAAGACTTTTGTATAGCAGCATTTTATTAAAGTATAAAAAGGGACAGAGAAAGCTTCTGACACAGACATCAGAAGGGGGACGGAGAGTGTCCCTATCCTTAGTGTCAGCAAGGGAATTATATACTTTTTAATTAATTATTGCAATAAATCAAAAGAATGTCTCAAATTTGTGAAAA